GAGTTTGTTGTTGGCCCAATAGGGAATAAATGTCAATTTCTCTTGCATTTTAAATTGTAGTCGTTGAATCGTGGTCTCTCTCTCTCGTCGGACTTTCTGAGCGTGGTCTCTCTCTCCCTTGTTCTGATCTCGATTAAATCGGAGATTTCACCGATTCCGCCGGAATTTGAAGTGCGAAATTATTGATATCGACTAGGATCGCATTATCTCTTCACTCTACGTCATCAGATTCGGAGTAAAGTGTATTTTACTTCGTTTTCTCGGGCGTATGATCTCCTAGGGTTTGATCTCCATCTTTCTCTCTCTGTCTATCCAATTTTTATTCTCGTACAGCGATTTGCAAGATTGTATGGTTTTTCTGCATCATCATAAGTTTTGGCATTCGGTTGACTGTTAACCTTACCTACAATTTTCATTGAGGTACTCGGCGTTTCGAACTGGCAATGTCTATGAAACTTGGAAACGTATGGATGTTTCTTCTGCTACTGGAAACACGATTTTCAAATTTTTTTTGCTTTCAATTTATTTTTCAGTTTATGATATTTTCTCTTGTGGAAGAGGTTTTTGAGTTCTAAAATTCTAAGACTTTTAACTGATTAGTGTTGATCAGAATTGGTAGATGAACTACTCAACGTTTGAGCTATTCAATATTTCTTTTAATCCTCTCTTAAAGACTTTCGTTGTATATAGATGTACAACACACACAGCAAATGGCATGCAGCCCTCGCCACTAAAGTACGGAGATCATGTGTTAGTTCTGTGTAGCATTTTGTTCGCCTTCGAACAACTTATCTATTTGTTGTGTTTGTAGTTTGTATTTGAATGAGTAATCTATTTGAGTTTCCTCAGTTTAGCACGTGGTAGTTTTTATTTTTTTAATGAAAGCCTGTGGTAGTTTTTCTTTGAAACTCGTTCTATGGAGAATGTAAGTCATGGCTACCACTTTAATTCTCCAATGTAATTCATATGATCTTGTAGGTATTATTTGTTACTTTCTACTACAATGCTCTGTCTCCTCTTGTGAAAATTTCCGTCACAAATGTGACTCTGTTTTCAATATAATTTAAATTACAGTATCATTAAATTGATCTAAATGTATTGTTCTGACTAGTCTTTGTGATTTATTGTTGCAGGATCCAATCCTTGCCCCTCTTGTTATACCACTTCTATTTGGAAAATGAGATGGGAAGAAATTTTGAAGGTGATTTTTCCGTTGCTGGAAGGTGTGGACCTTGCTTCCTGCATGTTAGTGTGCAAGCAGTGGAGAGACATAGCTCGAGATGATTTCTTTTGGAAATGTTTGTGCGCCAAGAAGTGGCCTTCAACCTGCAAAAATCCCGATCCTCCGACCAATACCTACTATAAATTATATCAAAACTTTTACAAACGTCCCAATAATCGACGTCTTCTCCCTCCTCGACTTTCCTTTGATGATCTAGAGTTTTTTATTGACATTTGGAGTGAAGACAGGTTAATCTTCTCAGAAGTAGTTGCAGGTCAAGTCCTCCAGAGTGGTATGAAGCCACCACCTGGTACTAGTAATGTGATTAATTATCACCTAGAAGCCCCAGAGTTCAAGATGACACTACCTGTTCAGCCAAGGTTCTCAATTCCTATATCCCATACTGTGAGCGTATCTGTGCTTGTAGGACGCAAGGATTCCAATAAAGTTGCTCGTATAGTCAACAAATCTGTATTTGATTACATTGATCGAACATCATACAGGACATTGGCTTTTGACTACCTTGATTTTTCACCTCTCTACCCATTTGTCTCCGGAATCCGAGCATGGATCTCATTGCTTTTCTTGGACGATGGAAATGATGGCATAATTGATGTTTTTGGTATTGTAATGGATTTCTGTGATGCTGCAAACACAAAGGATGAGGTATTATGGCTTTTGGACTTGCTTGATTGGAAATGAAGGGTTGACATTTTCCGGGAAAGAAAATTCAAAAAGAGTTGGGCCACATGCTGGTCACCAAGTACGAAAGTCTCACATCGTTGCTGAAACCGTCGCCCTGATTTTTCTGGTATCAATTATTACCTTACTTGTTTATTGTCACTGTACATAATTTTCCAACTCCTTTCATCAATAAATATGAATGATTTTCTTTTCATGAACTTATGTTTTCGTAGTTTATGTGAGTCACCTGCATTTTGATTCAGACTTAAAAGCCATTTTCTATATTGCTAGGCTTATTTCTTAGCAATATATGTATGTACATGTGTTTGTCACACTGTAGTTTGTAGGAACCGAAGCAAGGGGAGCTCATAGCCGCTCTCTTAGGAAGGATTAGAGCCAGTCCATTCATAAACATGACTTGTTTTTTTATACATTGTTAGAGCAAGATAGTGCAATAAGAAAGAGGGGAAAAAAAGAAAAGAAAAGAAAAAGCCAAAGAACATGCCTTGCCCACCAATTATTTGTCAATGTCATCAAGGAAAATCTGTATCCGAGTGGCCTATGGATGCGAAATTAGGAGCAACTTTAATTGATAAACCATGGCATAGAGAACCTTTAAGATAGTGTAAGATATGGTTGAGAACTTGTAGTGTAAGATATGGTTGAGAACTTGTAGTGTAAGATATGGTTGAGAACTTGATAAACCCGAGTTGCAGAAAATCAGAGTAGGGTGATTTATATAAGAACACCATCTGTTGTTTACAAGGTTTTCCTTGTGTCAATGGGTGATGGGGATGGTTAAATATTGTGTATCGAGCTGAGCTAGCTTGTAAATTAGTGATATACTTGGGTTGAGTTAAGATAATCCCTAAACTCTACCCTTGGGAACTTAGATTCTTACAATATTACAAGGACCACCAATGTCATTGATTGTATATTTTGATGGTAGCTTTTTTTAAACATCATAGAGTTTAAGTTAAGCTGATGACAGTTATAGTGTACTTTCATAGATGGCTAGAAACATCATGCTATATGAAGAGAAATAAAGGCATATTGGACTTGGATGGAATGGAATTGGAAAATTGTAATGGGTGTCAAAATTGGTTGGATTATTTGCAACTATGCCAAACGTCCTATTCTTTTGTAATTTCGTTTTCTAACCCATCTATCACGTATTGGTGGACATTTATCATTGGTAGAGCATTTTTACATCTGTCACTAATTGACTATTCCTATGACCATTATTGATAGACGTTTAACATTACTAGATGTCTATCATTAATTGATCGTTTTCATGTTTATTATTGAGAACCAATTTTTATGTTTATTCTATCAATAGCAAACTCTTTTTATGCTTATTACCATTCATTTTTATGTGTTTGATACACAAAAACCTATTATTGACATACTATTGACATACTATTCCTACGCCTATCAATGATAGATATCTATTAGTGATACATATAGGCGTAACAAATTATATTATGTGTATATTTGTATACAACAACAAGGGCTAGCATGCCCATTGATCAGTGCATTGTAATTTGAGGCGAAGCTTGTGAGGTTCTAGGCGCCTTTGGGCGATATTGTGGCTTTCTAGAAGATTCACATTCGAGTCTCAAGAGCTTTTTTTTTTTTTTTTTTGGAGATTTGTGATAGTTTATTATTCCTTGAGTGTCTGTTATTGTTATTCCTTTATTTGGTTCTTGATAATCCCTTTGCTAGAACTCTTTTCTTGCCTGAATTATCGCATCTTGGGATGACTTTGGAGAGAGTTTCTTAATCAAGTATTTTCTACCAATGATGTAAAGGATATCATGACATTTAAGTTATGAGAGAATGAATCACTCAGGGATCCGTATGTGAGGTTTAGAAAGTTGTAGCAAAAAATGTGGTTTGCCCTATTGTGTACCGTTAGAAATGCTTCACAAAAGTTCGAACATAGTGATATGAAACTCTACTTAATTGGACTTAAGAACCTTTGTGGATCCAAAATCAAGATGATTTCATCCCAATGATATCAGATTTCGAGAATTCAATCTAACAACCTTGTTTAAAAACAAGATTTTTAAATCTAAAATATCTAAGAACCCCAAAACAATAAGAAATCAACCACAGGAAAAGATCGGGATCGAGATTAGAATCACTCCACAAGGAATGATATGCCTCCGTTTATGTCACATGGTCTCACCAACCTCAAGTGGTATATGTTGTCTTTAAGCATTTGGAGCTTTGATAGGAAAAGTGAATCTAGAACTTTGGAACTAAAAACATAGTAGGCGCTCCCAAGGAAAATTTCTTATTTGGATTAGTGATAAGACAATTGTCGTAATTACATACAAAATTTACCGATTGCAACCGAGCTTTGTGGCACTATTCGAGGACAAGCAATGATTCAAGTTTGGGGTTTGATACCTTGTAGATATGCAAGTTATTTAGGTAGTATTGTATTGTCTTTGAGAATGAATTCTATGCATTTATCGAGATTTTACTGCGAAATCATGTCTAATTCATCCATTTGCATAATTATGATAGATAACAGTTAAATTATAAGATTGTAGTTTTATAAGCTCTGAGGGACTAATAATGGTTTGATCGTTTGTTTCTTTGGATAATTAAGACAATTTTATTTAAAAGTATTTGGAAGTATCAGTGGAGTGAAAGATGATTTCTACTTTGGAACATATATTCCTTCTCACAGGTTTAGATACTTTGGTCAAGAATAAGAGAGAGAAAACGTGCTTCATCATGTGAACCTTATCTCTCCATTCATACATCAATATCATGTCTTTATCAAAATTGGTTGTACCAATAATTCCAAGAGATGCGGAAAGTTGTGGACGGCTATAAATCGTACAAATGGTATCCCATGGTATGTAGCTTTCTTCATAGATTTTTTTAAAATTTTTTTTTTATTCTTATTAAATTATAAGTTTAGTTTTTGAAAATTTATCTCTGTCCCGTGATATCTCTACGACCTGAATTTGTCAAGTAAAAAAGAAATGGTAAATCAAGATAAGATATTGAATGGTGGGGGAGTGAACAAAGAAAATATCTAGTGCCACCCTTGTTAATATAAACCATAGGGGGGAGATGATCAAATGACATCCAAACCCATCAACTGAAAAAGATGAACAAATCCTTAGCCCTTTCGTTTCTATTTCTCACCATCTTCCTCAACACTCGTCCCGCTGATGCCAATGTGCGTTTCGACTTGTCCAGTGCCACAAGCTCATCTTACAAAACTTTTATAAAAAATTTGAGGGAAGCACTTCCAAAGGATGGGAAAGTGTATGACATTCCTGTGTTACTTTCGACTGTAATGGACTCGAGGCGCTTCATACTAATAGATCTCGTCAATTACGACGGTCAATCCATCACAGCTGCCATAGATGTGCTAAACGTATATATCGTAGCATACAGCACAGGCACAGTGTCCTACTTTTTTCAGCAAGTTCCAGCTCAAGCTCCCAAATTGCTGTTCAAAGGCACTCAGCAAAGGACACTTCCATACACAGGTAATTACGAGAACCTTCAAACTGCTGCAAAAAAGCTAAGAGAAAACATCGAGCTTGGACTCCCAGCTCTAGACAGTGCCATTACCACCTTGTTTCATTACAACGCCGAGGCTGCTGCTTCAGCGCTGCTCGTTCTCATTCAAACGACCTCTGAAGCTGCAAGGTTTAGATATATCGAGCTACAGATTGCTAACAATGTTGGGACGAAATTTAAGCCAAGTCAAACGATCATAAGCTTGGAAAACAACTGGTCTGCGCTCTCCAAACAAATCCAAATTGCCAAGAACAAAAATGGGCAATTTGAAACTCCAGTTATCCTTATAGACCCTCAAGGAAATCGTGTTCAAATAACAAACGTGACTTCGAACGTTGTGACCCAGAACATCAAGCTGCTGCTGAACATTGGTGCAACAGTTGATACAATGGCCGCCAACGACGATGTGGATGAGATGACGAGCGGTGTTCCCATAAGGCTATCAAGCTGTGGCCATGAGATGGAAAGGAAGTCAGTGGAGAATGGCCGGCATGCAAATTATGTATCGGTGTAACTTTTGAAGTTACAGGTATAGTGGGTATTAAGACTTTAGTAGTCCACCCACAGAAATAAGGCATGTGTTCATTGTGTTTATGTGTTTTATTTCTTAAATGCTAAATAAAATGGAACGATGAAGTCCCTATGACCGATGAAGTCCCTATGACTCGACTAAACGGAATAAACGGGTCGTTGGGTATTATGGAGAAAGTTTATGATATAGATCTTGTGAGATCTCACCTCGGTTGGAGAGGGGAACAGAACATTCTTTATAAGGGTGTAGAAACCTCTCTCTAACAAACGTGTTTTAAAATTTTGAAGGGAAGCTCGAAAGGAAAAACTCAAAGAAGACAATATATGTTAGTTGTGAGCTCGATACATTGAGGCTGTCTCCTAGGAATTTAGATTTTTTTTTTTCTCTTTACATGATTGATATTTTTAGTTGGTTCTCGTCCCATTAGATTCCTCTTTGAAGAGATCTATAATTTTGAAGAATTCAGAGTTGTTGAGATAATAATCGAAGTATTTGAACATGAAAATAATCGAATAGTGAAATCGAAGATGTGTGCATAAAAGATGACCAATTTAGTTGGACCAATCCAATTCAATTTTTGGGTTATTTTGACGATGTTGATATTTTCTCCTATTTTCGAGACTACATACGAGACTCAAAGAAAGTTGGAGTGGAAAAACAGCAAGTTTTGTCTTCGTCCCGTAGACATCTCTTACCACCTATATTTATTGAAGTAAAAAAAAAAAAAAAAAAAAGTTGTAAATCGAGATAAGATATTGATTGGTGGGAGAGTGAACGAAGAAAATATCTATATTAAACTCTTTTTATGCTTATTACCATCATTTTTATGTGTTTGATACACAAAAACCTATTATTGATATACTATTCCTACGCCTATCAATGATAGATATCTATTAGTGATACATATAGGCGTAACAAAAATTATATTACGTGTATATTTGTATTCAACAAGGGATATTACGCCCATTGATCATTGCATTGTAATTTGAGCCGAAGCTAGTGAGGTTCTAGGCGCCTTTGGGCGATATTGTGGCTTTCTAGAAGATTCACATTTGAGTCTCAAGATCTTTTTTTTTTTTTTTGGAGATTTGTGATAGTTTATTATTCCTCGAGTGTTTGTTATTGTTATTCCTTTATTTGGTTCTTGATAATCCCTTTGCTAGAACTCTTTTCCTGCCTGAATTATCGCATCTTGGGATGACTTTGGAGAGAGTTTCTTAATCAAGTATTTTCTACGAATGATGTAAAGGATATCATGACATTTAAGTTATGAGAGAATGAATCACTCAGGGATCCGTATGTGAGGTTTAGAAAGTTGTAGCAAAAAATGTGGTTTGCCCTATTGTGTACCGTTAGAAATGTTCACAAAAGTTTGAACATAGTGATATGAAACTCTAGGACCTAAGAACCTTTGTGGATATATAAACCCTAAGACTACAAATGCTAAAACTCCCAAATCAAGATGATTTCATCCCAATGATATCAAACTTCGAGAATTCAATCTAACAACCTTATTAAAAAACAAGATTTTTAAATCTAAAATATCTAAGAACCCCAAAACAATAAGAAATCAACCCAAAGAAAAGATTGAGATCGAGATTAGAATTACTCATGCCTCAGTTTATATCACATAGTTTCACCAACTTATAACATAGTCTCACCAACTCCAAGAGGTATGTGTTGTCTTTAAGCATTTGGAGCTTTGATGGAAAAGTGAATCTAAAAACATAGTAAAATTTCTTATTTGGATTAGTGATAAGACAATTGTTGTAATTACAGACAAAATTTACCGATTGCAACCGAGCTTTGTGGCACTATTCGAGGAAGCAATGATTCAAGTTTGGGGTTTGATACCTTGTAAATGTGCAAGTTATTTGGGTAGTATTCACTTTGAGAATGAATTCTATGCGTTTATCCAAATTTTATTGTGAAATCATGTCTAATTCATCCGTTTGCATCAATAGTTAAATTATAAGATTGTAGTTTTATAAGCTCTGAAGGACTAACATAAGAGAGAAAACGTGCTTCAACATGTGAACCCTATCTCTCCATTCATATATCAATGTCATGTGTTATCAAAATTGGTTGTACCAATAATTCCAAGAGATGCGGAAAGTTGTGGAGGGCTATAAACCATACAATTGGTATCCCATGGTACGTTGTTTTCTTCATAGATTTTTTTTTTTTTGGTTAAATTATAATTTTAGTTTTTGAACGTCTATGATTTTTTAGTTTGAATGTATAGAGATTTTGTTAAGTTTATATTTATTAAGTTTGTGTTTAGACGGTACAAAAAGTAGCTATGTTAAATCTAAAGATCGAACTATCTTGAATTCTCCATCTACCAGCTACAGGTTGGGATTCGATTCCCGTTATACATGACGAGTATCTTCAAAACAAAATTGTTAGTACTTTATGGGAAACTTCTCAGCAAGTTCCTCAATATCGTTCGTCCTTAGGGCCATTATGCTCCTTCAGGTATTCTCGTATCCTTTCGGCTACGGTGCTTGAAAATGTACGTACACGAATGGTTCCTAGACATGGACCACACAGGAAAAAGGGATTATACTATAGTACTCTTAGATGGCTCCTTAAAAACCCCAGCTTGTGATGCTCCAAAGGCATCCAAAGTCCTCTAGTGGAAAACATCCTAAGAGGAGCTCAAACAGTCAAAGGCGATGTCAGCTTCCGTTTATCGGGTGCAACAACCAGTTCCTATGGAGTTTTCATTTCAAATCTGAGAAAAGCTCTTCCATATGAAAAGAAATTGTACGATATTCCTCTGTTACGTTCCGATCTTTCAGGTTCACAGCGCTACACATTAGTCCATCTCACAAATTACGCCGATCAAACCATTTCGGTTGCCATAGACGTAACAAACGTGTATATTATGGGGTATCGTGCTGGTAACGTTTCCTACTTTTCCTACTTTTTCGGATTGGATTGGGTAGAGTAGTCGGGTTGTTTTTCTTTTTTAAAAAAAAAATTCTATTTAACCTGAATATAGGTTATATGATGTAAATTACATTGATAACTAAAAATTCATAAAGCTCAAATTTCAAATAATTTTAAAAGTAGAGTAGGGTAGTGTCAGACTGTAACCCTATTTTTTAGTTTCTCAGGTTGACCTGACTAAAAAAATGTTAACCTACAAAGAGGCTCCAATTTTCTGCTTTCTAAAACGTTCAACCCAACCCAAACTATAAAATAAAAATAATTTAATCCAACCCAACATTTCTAATTTCAGATGAGTTGCATGAGTTGATCGAGTTATTAGATTATATAAACACGTCAAAGTTAGATGAACTTGACTCTGAGAATGTTTCTTAATTCACCCCACCTAAATGGTGTGAAAGTTATCTTATTTATAATCAAATAAATTACAAGGATATGGAAATAGTAATAAATGGAAAGATATTTGTCTTATAATAAAATATCAAATATGATATACATGGTAAACTATAATTTATTACTAAATATCCTTAACATACTCATTGAAGAAGATCAGAGGATTTAACTCATTTTCAAAAGGGAAGGCGGTTGAATACACTTTGAATCAAACCCACGCTCGTCGGTAAACTTCCTACATAGATTTGCGAGCAAATAGTGAATGATCGAGCTCGATACATTGAGGCTATTGTTGTGATCGAAGCCTCCTAGGAATCCAGATTTTTTTTTTTTCCGTTTACATGATTGATATTTTTAGTTGATTCTCGTCCCATTAGATTCCTCTTGAAGAGATCTATAATTTTGAAGAATCCAGAGTTGTTGAGATAATAATCGAAGTGTTTGAACATGAAAATAATCGAATAGTGAAATCGAAGATGTGTGCATAAAAGATGACCAATTTAGTTGGACCAATCCAATTCAATTCCTGAGTTATTTTGACGATGTTGATATTTTCTCCTATTTTCGAGACTACATACGAGACTCAAAGAAAGTTGGAGTGGAAAAACAGCAAGTTTTGTCTTCGCCATGTAGACATCTCTTACCACCTATATTTATTGAAGTAAAAAAAAAAAAAAAAAGTTATAAATCGAGATAAGATATTGATTGGTGGGAGAGTGAACGAAGAAAATATCTAGTGATAATCCTCGTTAATATAAACGAAACAAAAATATCTAGTAGTCTACCCAAGGAAATAAAACATGTATTCATTGTGTTTTTGTGTTTTATTTCATTAAATACTAAATAAAATGAATTAAACATATGAATACACCGGAATGAACGGAATGAACGTGCACCTTCCTTTTGTGACACCCAAGTAAAAGATGCGTACCTAAATGAATCAAAAGCACATTCGAATGAGAGATGATTAAGAAAGACTCATAAATGTCGAAAAAGTACTTTCAACCCGTGAATTTTATCTATAACGATTCATGTCTAGAATTTGTATTATAATTTGAAATCTAGATTTCCGTACATCCTTTCCAACATGGTCATGTTATTTATTTCTCACTGTTTAAGAGTAAAGACTATCACCACAGAACAAGATGAGTCATTTCAACATGTTTTGTTCTCACTCACGTATATCTAAAACAAATAACGAGGAAGTCACTCAACATTCAATTATTCAAAGTAAAGCATCTTAACCCTAAAGGTCCACAAAAATTTTTTATATATATATATATAACTCTTTTTTTTTTTTTTTTTTTTTTTTTTTTTTTTTTTTTTTTTTTTTTTTTTTTTTTTTTTTT